ATTTTTCAGCTTATTCTCGTGAGAAACGTAATGGAATAAAGTTTGAATTAATTACCTTAATGGTTGCAGTAATAAAATGTCATAATTCATCATCAGGTTTCCTATACTTCATGTGCAGCCGATACTGCTGATGTATATTTTCCGAATTAATTGAATAATTTATACAGATGAATATTTAAATTTAAGACAAGAAATTCTTATTGGAATCATATTCATATCGGTTTTGCAAATTTCATAATAAATTATGTACCTCTATGACAGGCATGATTGATTACTCCACATTAACACATCTTGATAATTCTGATGTGAGTCAGACATAACCTTCATAACCTTAGCGACTAGTGATGGGAAAACTTCTAGCGCGTCTATCAGATTACCTAGCAAGGTCCACAACTGCAGCTCTTTGCATGAACTGCTCGCGTGTACAGCGCCTGTCGTGAGCTGTGCATACAATGAACTCTTTGAGACCCTTGCTGAGGTGCTGTAATCAGACCATTTTGTCGGCTGAAGACATTGCTTCATCACTCTGGGTATTCACTTTCCTGTTCAGGTCAAGTGCAACTCGCTAGGAGGTTTGTACAGGGTATAGACGGAGGTATAAACGAAGGTATAGAGGGTATAGACGAAGGTATAGTGGTATAGAAGAAGGTATTGAGTGTTTACACGAAGAGATTGAGGTATAAACGAAGATATAGAGGGTATAGATGAAGGTAAAGAGGGTGTAGTCAGGGGTATAGAGGGTAAAGACTTAGGTATATGGGTGGGTATATACGAAGGTATAGAGGGTAAAGACTTAGGTATATGGGTGGGTATATACGAAGGAATAGAGGTAAAGACAATGATATAGAAGGTATAGACGAAGGTATAAAGGGTATAGACGGCGGTATAGAGGGTTTAAACGAATGTATAGAGGGTATAGATGAAAGTATAGAGGGTATAGATGAAGGTATAGAGGGCAGAGGCTGGGTATAGAGGGTATAGCCGAATAGAGAGTAGAGGGTGTAGCCGAGTGTTGAGATTTGCTTATCAAGTAATTTGAAGTTATGGTTCTCATGTCGATAACAGAATTGTATGACATATATATGGAATTATATTTTATTGAGCGGTGAAATCTTCAAAAATCGGTCGGAGTATTATAGGGATGCAGGAATACAAATTGTGTAAAGCGATTGAGAAAAAGAAAAAAACATTTCTCAGATAATTTAAGAAAATAAAAACTTTAATCAAATCCTTAAATAATTCAGTTCAATTCGAGCGAAGAAGATTTTTTCGAGTTACTTTAATTTTTACTTTAAATGTTGACCACAAGCGCAATCTATGCTCCACTAACTAGAATTTTTTGACATTGTCATACTTTCTCTCGATAATGTATGTAACAAATAGGTTATAATTCCCTATGACAATTTACGGGGTATAACAGACGAGCGCCAAATGTCCCACTCAAAAGAAAAGTGATCAAAAGCTCATCAAGTGAATAAATTACAAACAAGTATAAGAACATAGTTCTATTCGCGTACGTGGAGCTTACATGAAAAAAATTCCGCAGAGAAATAAAGCCGATGTTTGAAGTAGTTGAATTTCACGATATGTTCATATTAATTCTAATAAATTCAGCTTCAATTAAATGTATTCAAGTCGACTGTTATTTTCACATCCACCGTCATTAAAAATTTTTTGCATTCATAGTTTAAAATTGGCTGTAATTATTCATGTTCGGTAATGACGCTTCGATCAAAGCGAATCTGTACGAAAAATTTTGCAAAAATTGACGGCTTTGTGTTTAAAAATTCACAAATGCCGCGCAAGCCTTTGACGCGGCAGCCTCTTATTTATCGAATGCGCTAGACTGTAATTTATCAAATGCGCCAGTATATAATTTATTAGATGCACCAGTATATAATTTATTAGATGCACCACTATATAATTTATCATATGCGCCAGTGTAAAATTTATCAGATGCGCCAATATATAACTTATCAGAAGCGTCATTCTGCAATTTATCAAATGCGACAGTCGCTCCTCTCTTTTGTCTATGAGATGTGACAGCCTTTAATTTATCAGGAGCTCCTGTATTCTATCTATGAGATGAGACTGTCGCCATTTCATCAGATGTCTCAGTCTTATATTTTATCATAGAAGATCTTGTTATTGTCATTGGTTTCATTGACGAGACTCTGGGTTTTTCCACTTCCACGCGTCTGAAACACGCGCTTTTGCCAGGGTATAAATGTTCCCCTTCAGTAGTTCCCATTCCTGGATTCAGGGGAAAATAACACTTTTGAATGTAGGAATTTACTCAGAAGAAAGAGTAAATTCTGAGGGTAAGGGGAACTGAATGGTTTTGAATTAATGGCAATGGACGTGATGGCAATACGTGGAAGGCGATGTATTCATCATTGGATGTTTTAAGACTAGATTTACAAAAAAGTATTGGATCTGAAGCTCATGTTAACTAGACATTGGCTAAAGCTAAAGTTCACTAAAAAACCTGTGTTTACCAATTTCAGTTCCGCGTTAAGGGCCAAAAATAAACTTTTAACAATTAAAATAAATAAAGAATTCATCAAATAATATAAAGTCAATAAATAGTTTACACGCTCTTAGATATCTAGACAACTCCTACGGAACAACTGATATATAGAAGCGATTTTTAATCCACCGTCCTTTGAAAAGATCTGATCAAAAGGCCAGTCTAGTCAAGAAAAGTACAAAAATTGGCGACAGGCCTATCCAGGCCTATTCTTTAATGCCGAAGATACTATACTATACTATTATAGGACGCCATCTGAGCATGCAAAGCGAGACGGATGTAAGGCAGGCAGCTGTTGTCCAGCCTAAATCTGGAGTCTGATCAATTTCACGGCTTCCATAATTTGCCTGATCGACCCCGGAGGCTAATGAAGTCATTATGAGGCTCAGTATTATTATTATAATTAATCGAGAGATTTGCGATACTAGAGTTATTATATCCTGTATTGTCAGAACCGTTAGAGGCGAGCATATGAACAGCCACGCGGCCAATTGGTTTATTTGCAAGACATATAATGACCAATATATGATTAAAGATATTGATAATAAAATAATAATAAAATATAATAATATATAATAATAGATTGATAAGCAAAATATGATATAAAGTTCCGGTGATTAAATGAGAAAGAGAAGTTCATAAAACTGGTTCTGCATGATGTTAACAGTGAGCTTGGTATAGTTGCAATTGTCGTTATGTCTTGAGACGAGATTTATCAATGGATAATTCGTGAATAATATTTCAATTGCTTAAAAGCCTCTCAATGTATAAAACCATTAGAATTATGTGTCCGCAAGCTGACATACAACTGACACAAGTAATGGATTTAATTTAAATGTTGTCCCCGTTCTGCATATCAGCCTGACACGCAAGGGTCAAGTTGAGTGAAGGGTAATTAATTATTGAAGCAAATGCTCGTATACTGAGTGTAAGGACACACGTGTCCTGAGAGTTTGCGTGACCATGAAAATAGTTTATAGTTCCGATGTTTGTAGGTTCAGTGAACTGGAATTTTCTGTATTAATCTGCAATATTTTAAGAAATGGGTCTGTACAATGGATGGGGTAAAGAGTGTTGAACCAGCTATTTATAAGTGGATAGGTAGGGTGGGACAGAAAAGGGCCGATTTTGAATTGTTGAAAGGTGCGTTTTGCTCCTAGTTTGGAGACATTGAGAAATCCTATAAGGGTTTAATAATCAGGATTTGCTGATAAAAAACGATTAGGAAGTAGGAAATGCGATCGCAAAAATGACGGAATTCAAATTAGAAATTTTTTCGCTACCGAATATGAGACACGCAAGATAACAAGGTCGCCGGAAATTAAATTCATACCTAGGATAGATACGAAGCAGCGTTAAATCAGGACGTCATTTAAATAAAGCATTAAAGAAGATATTTGTCTTCAACACTGGGCAACCAACACGTGATGAGTACGAAAATTTTGCGGGTAGGAACATAAAAATGGCATGAAGGAAGGATGGGATCAAAAAGGAAAATCAGGCAAGATATAATTGAAATAAATATTTGCTCTATAAAATACATAATAAACTGGTTTCAGAGCAAAAGTAGTTCCTTGAAAACCTGACAGTATCACGGCAGCGTCAGTTAACGTGAAATTTGTTGATTACCTTGCGTCGCTAAATTGTTTTTGTGTACTAATTGTAATTAATTCTGGATCTTATTTTGTATTATTTACCATTATCAATTTTGAAGAGCCATTTATCACTGCAAAAGTAGTTAATAAATACGAGGGATAGGCATGTTATTTAATGTAACATGAGTTTCACTTGAGATCGATCTAATAACGACACTTATTGCAAGTTCTACCTGTAGGAAAGGTCTTCACAGTTTAGGGCCGAATTGCGGAACTTGATAAATGCTAAAAGTTGACCACAATACAAGTGAACTTGAACTAAAACTTGAGTTATCGCGAGCGTCAAAAGCAAGCTGCTGCAGCGGCAGCAGGCTGGAGCGACGGGGTCCGGTTCTGCAGTTCTCGCCCTCAAGCAATTATATTATCTGTGATTTGTCTCCGAGTTTTTTGCCGCACACTAGCGGGGCTGAAGTCCCGACCAACGCTAAAGTTCTGGTCTCAGTTTTAGTAGCTCTGGAAAATAGTTATAAGTGGAAATTCTGTTGATAACGATCAATTGTTGATGATGATAGTTGATGATAACAATGAATCAATGTTGATCCAGATCAATTTTTCAGAGAAATCTAATTCATTACTTATTGACTTAAGGACCCTAATTAATTTCTATTTGATCTTGCGTGTATGGGCATCTGTAAATCCAATAATTTTTTCTTCTTTCCTGGATCTCAATAGATCATGTTTTCGGCTCGATGTTTTAGTTAATAAATTATAAGATTCAGTCGTGGAAGCCATTTTGTTCTGTCAACTAATCCTTTATTAAAAAAAACTTAACCTAGCATCTTCAATTATGTTTATATAACTTTTATATTTTTCAGAACGACAACGCTACTTGTGGCTGTGGCGTTGCTGGCGCCGCGCGCGGCCTGCAAAACAATGGCCCGTCTGACCGGCGTGGCAGGATCCACAAGCACATCCTCGACCCTGGCTTGGATGGCGCCTCCACGGGATGGGTCTTTCCCTCCCGACGCGGTATCCGTGGGGCGGGAGGAGGAAGGAGGAGGTGGGGACGGTGGACCAGTTTGGTGTCGGGGAAAATGGCACAGCATTTGGATTCCTGGAGAACTCGGGCTGGATCGGAAATGCACCATCGCGTTCTTGGGGTCGGTGCTCCGAATTGATACTTATGACATTTTGGTTTCGCTGGGCGGGGCGGCGAGGGTGGAGTGGGTGCCGTGGGACAAGCATATGGCAAAGCCAGACAAGAGTGTCATGTCTCCTGACCAACTGATCGTGATGGTAGACGATACTCTAAATGGGACCATTCATACAGGAAATCTGGGCATCAGCACAAGTTCTAGAACCGCAAATATCTTCGATAAGAGCAACAACATTGCGTACGAGTCGAGTCAAGTTCAAGTTCTTGTCGAAGTTGAACCCATTCGTTACACGCTTACGGACATCGAGTTAGACAAGGTGATGAGTTCCACAAAACACAGTTCTGTGATTCTAGGCAACCATGTTCTGGCTAACAATCATGGTCGTGACTTGACGATTGCCGAAGACGTGACCTACGTCATCAAGGAGGAACAGTACTGGGGACGTGTTGCTGGGACGGTCACGGCGCTGCCAGCCGTCGTCTACGCTTCCGAAGACGCGGACCCGCTTAACGTAATGTGGGGTACGGAGGCCGAACTCGACAGGGTGGATATGGCGCATCTTAAGGCAGAATTACCGAATGGTGTTGGGATAAACGCGTCCATTATTGGCAAACTTAGGCATTACGAGGCACCTTACTTCGCGTCTATCAGAGCTTACTATGGCGACGGTGAGTCTCGTGCATGGAGGATAAACTCTTTCCACAGTCACGATGTCATCGTGACTGTAATTGCTCAGTACAGTTCGCCTTTCTACCTAAACAACGGAACAACTGTTCCTGGTGCTGAGGCGACGTCAAAGTTACTTTATGAACTAACGACAACGACAACCACGACTACCACCACAACCACTACTACTACTACAACCACAACTCCAGCTCCCACTACCGTCACAACCACGGAAGATTACGAGCTTTCAACCGTAGCAATATACCAATCCTCTCCTGAGGAAGGGCTAGAAATAAGTCCCGAGATAGGATCTCTATCGAGAGATCCGACTTACAAACCTCCTCAGTTTACCTCCAAAGGCTCACAGGGCTTGGATTCGTCGAACTATGAAAGGCCTTTGAAATCTTCGAGCTATGAACAGATGAGTGCGTCTGATCGAATTTTGTCGGCAATAGCAGGTGTAGTGACAACTATTTTTCTTCGACATTATTATTCCTATTCTGAGTAAAAATCTAAAAATGTCTTGAGTAAGATGTGTACAAAAGCTTTGGCCAGTTCTTATTGAGTCTCCGAGCTTAGCTCTCTCGCGCTAATCTTCCATAGATGATGGTTTTAGGAAATGTTCTTTCAGACCCAATGCTTGAGCTTCTCAGCTGCAGGCGGGCGGAAATGGAATAAATCTTCCAGATTTTTCATCGAATGCGCGTAGTTCCCAATGAAGTTCGAGTCGTAATTACCGGAGCGCACAACTTTTCCGGCCGTGATTCATCAAAGACCTGAATTCAAAAGGCAATTTGGTTAGATAATAAGAGTGCCAATGAAGAAAGATTGGCCCTAATTACAGTCAGTAATTATAGAGGGACGCCCTATAATGTATCCTTCTAATAGCTAATAGCTTTGTTTGGAAGTCAGGTATGTCTTAAATTTAGGATAGAAATGATGTAAAGCTTTTTTATGGAGAAAACCCGATCCATAACTCCTAATAGCTGACGAAATCCTTTTTAATTCACATTCATGCTTGAAGCTTTAATTAAGAAAAAATTGGCAATGTGTTCTATATTTGCGATAACGATCTATATATGCATTAATGCTAATTTTATTAAATATCACTAATTTTATTAATTTAATAAAATGCCAAAAAGCCGAGAAAATTGAATACTTCTCGTGCGATTTCCATAACCACAATGTTAACAAATTATGCACTTGTTGATCGTTTTAATTTTACTTAGTAATTGAAAAAATTACGGAAATATTATAAACAGAATTACCGTTGCTTATAATGGGCGTTTCGCTTGCAGAAATAGCTTGCATAGAGTGGACATAATAGTTATATTTAGAAATTTTATACAATACAAAAGCGAGTATATAACTGATGCAATGAGAAAGGTCTTTTAAATAGTAATAATAATTATCTGAAATCGTTGTCTCATTGTTTGTAGCAGAGATCTCATAGAAATATTGCTTAGATTCCCAATATCGAGGACGGACATTTTTGCATGGAACTGTTGTCAAGTTTATACAGTTTATGTGTCGAGACGCCAAATGTAATGCTCGTAATCGAGTGGTTGACATCTCAGTGGGAGTATAGAGCTAATTGTTTCGTATATGTTGGTTGAGAATATTATATTTAGGGAGTAGAAGTTGCTTGAGATTGGAAAATTTATAATGCTTCCGTTTCATGTTTCATGTGGTCAAATTAAAACCGAATAAGTAATAGTTGTGTGAGAGTTGGGAATTTATAATTTGTTTGTATCACGCTGGATGTGATTAAAATTAAACTGATGGTTTTCATAAGGTTCATGCATGGTGAGGTAGGCAATTTATATTTCCATTTGTTGGAGCGTGGATCAATCGATGATTAGCATGGGCTCTAATGCGGGATGAAGGGCGGAAAATTGAAGCCATTGCCTCTTCTGTGCCGAAGCTAACCGCTTTATAAGAGAACTTTTAGGTGTACATTCACCCAATACTCTACTTTAAAACTAAATATTCTTTCTACGTAATATATAGTCATGTTATAGATGGTAAAACAATATATCTGTTCATGTACATAAAAGTTTAACTTGCAGTAGCTAGATTTAAAGAAAATTTGTACAGTTTAATCGAACCATGTATGGTTCGTCCTATAATTTTGAGTGGTATAAAATAAAATGCTGCGAAAAGGTCTTGTAATTTTATATAGAATGAATGCTTTGTGCTGCATCATTTATACTTCGTTAGAATAAGTAAGAGTTTATCTTTACTAATTATTTAGCAACTTTTTTTAATTTTGCTCACGTGCATGTATTGAGATCTTTTGATCACTTGATTCCCACAGCGATCAGAACTTAAAATTCAAGAAAGGCCGAAACTATTTACTGTACCAACCTTTTATTGAAAATTCTTGGTATAAAATTCTGATGAAAAATATTAAAACTTAAAACTGAGCCTAGCTTTCTCAAAGGCAAGATTTCGTTTCCCGCTTTTATTTTAATTCGCGCTTCAGAATCCTTACAATTTAAATTAATGAGTCTATTAGCAGATAATTCATTAAATGTTATTACATTTGTATTAGACTTTGATGAATTTTAAAGCGTTTAGGTAAAAACGTTAGTTGCTTTTAATTTGAAATGAAGTTTGGGCGACACTATTAGCCTTCTCTGCAATATCGGTAATTTATTTTGATTGTTAGAGGTGTGCCGTATGCGGGAGATCAATCAGTCTCCTTGTACGGCATTTCTTTAATAACTTTCGTCTTGTTCTCAAAATGTTCAAAACAACAATAAATTGAATAAAATAATCAGTGATTTAACAGATTTTTTTACACCATCTTATTTGCGTACTGGGATGAAAAATCTCATCAGTATTCCGATTGCGAACGGCCGTACCTCAAGAACGCTGCACTGTGTGTTTTTAGACCATATTCAATTCGAAAATGGATTGAATGAAAATTAAGTTACTCATTCATAATTTTTCTTATTGATAAGAATTCAAATTTTCTGACGTAGGGTTTAACGAAACGAAAAGTCGGTAGGGTTTTGGCGCAATCTAAAAGCTTTAGGAAGGTTCGAATTTGTTTTCAAGAGTAATATGTTAGAAAAAGAGATGATTTGTAATACTTGCACATAATTTATGACAACCTCACCCAAGAACCCGTATTTGAAAGCACATGAGAGGATCTTTATCCCGCAATAAATACGCCTACGAAAACAATATGTATATATATAATATACATATTTGTTATTATATATAATATATTTCACATTTGATTGATATTATTTCAAAATATAGTATTAAAAATGAATATATAGTGCGTAGTATGAGTGGCGACGTGGCGTTCCCGTGGAGTTTTCCATACGCTGCGCTTCATCTTGCACGCTCGGTTTGCCGCTCCAACGGCATGCAACAAATGATGGAACGGCAGCCGAGGGAAGAAGTTTTGCTGAGAAGAAAACTTTGGAAACTGAATAAATTCATCATTTTAAAATGACAAAAACTTTAAAAGCTGAGCAGAATCCATCATTTTAAAATGGACAGTTTTTTGCGTGTTCTCTCAAGCTATCGCATATTGTAAACACATCTGCAGGTTTTGTTAGCTTTACTTTGGCGAAAAATCTGATCGATGAGCCAACTACTTCGTATATAGTTTGAAGAGAAGTATTTAGTTTATATAACGAGATATCTGGACTTGCCATGCCTCGCAAAATTGGACATCATATTAGAGAAGACCAAAGGCTCGAGGAACTGGACCTTGCATTTTCGCTAAAGCACACATAGGGTTAGTGTTTAATTGAAGGGTTCACTGTCATACTATGTGCCCTGTGTACATCCCCTCAGTATATACATACTCAGTTAACACATGTAAGAGACTGATCTAGCTGCTTGTTGAGACGGGCTGACCTAGCTAACATACTGAAATGGTCGCCAAGGTCGCTATGCACTTGCTCTACAGCGTTAGCTTAATAAATGCGATCAAATAATAATAAATAATATAATAATACTTACAGCGAATAATAAATGCTAACAAATAACCTGTTATAGCGAATTTCACAGGGAACAAATATTTTTACGAACCCACGACCGATGATTTCTACCGAAGTCTCGCTCAGGGGGTGAGATACAGCGTTCACATTCAAACAAACTGCAAGAGAATAAAATAATTAAAGCATTGCTGGTAAATCCTACAAATAATTTAAATGTTTTCCCATCCGATGATAGCACAAGCATCTAATGACGACCCTTGGTATTGAAATGAAATGTATGCTCTAATAGAACAAATTTCTTTAGGCAATATGAAGTTATTTACCACGCCATTCGATAATACTGTACCTATGAATATTGAAGGACTAAATTGGATATAGAGCTTTGCTCTAGAAATTAGTTTCTATATTTCCATTAGAGTTTCTGGTCAGCTTATATGTGGGCTTAGAGCGGCTTACGTTCGCAGCGGCGGCAATTTCATGGCAACGAAGCGTCGGTTTTGGCCTCCCGAAGAACTTCGCAGTCACAATACTCTGCACGGCTGATACCACGCAGACCTCATCCTCAGAGATATGAGGGGGACTGGTCCAAATAGCGATGTGGTTTCTTCTCTTGAGTGGGTGAAACCTGGCCAAATTTGACACGGAAAAAGTGAATATCAATGTTACGTGTTGCAAGTGGGTCCATATATGGATAATGCAATTTATTTTCATCAGTGCACGGTGATGTGTTGGTGTTATCTGCCTTGCAAGTCGGGTAACTGAAGCTCTTTATTAGTGAAATTCTACCTCTTTGAGCGCACAGTAATAATCTAAAACACTAAAACATTAACCTTCATTCACATTCATATATAGGCTCCATAAGAGCTTTACGGAATTTTACTCTGATTATTCCTTCAGATTTTAGTAGTAATCTTTTCGATTGCAGTAATTTTACTTCAATTGAATGATTATCTCATATCGTGCAACCAAAATAACGCGACCAGCAGAGCAAAATTAAATAAATGGTCGGTTATCATCAGGTCGGAATGCGTCCCTTATACAGGCCCAACAATTGCCCAGCGACCTCTGTCAGGTGCGGGTTATTTATGACGTAGAATAATTTAATATTACGCAAGAATGCAAATTTTGGATTAGGAAATAATAATGTTGTGTGAAGATTTTTTTCAGTAATGGGGCCTTTAGCAGGTCTTAATTAATATCAGGTATGCAATTAATAAATATTAATATTGTTTTTCACTCGTGAGCAGTCCAGGTTATGAAAGTAACATCACAAGCTACATTTCATATAAAGTTTGTGCAAAAATCTCGATGTTCATACAAGACTTAACTCACTCAGTATTGGATCAACGGTAAATAACTCAAAACGCTCACTAGCCACCAATGAATACTAGGGAAAATTGGATTACATCAGGAAAGATATTTTGATTGAAGGTTCACTAACTGAACTGTCACAAAATGTAAGTAAACTTGATTTTCTGAGAGAGTGCCGACCAATGTTTTGATCCTAGTACGAGCCTTGACGCTACATCAAATAAAACGCTCACGCCTCGCTCGAGGTTGTCATTGAGGCCAATTTTTCTCGCAGATGTTGCGTCGGTGACATCGTCAATATAGGCCCAGCTACCAAGCCGGGGATCAGCTGATAAACGACCGCATTACTGCAGTCAGAGGGAAAATACACTAGGAAGAATGAACGGGCCATATTGTCCCCATGTATTGTGATCCACTTTTTACACGTAGCAGTGGCACGCTCCTTTGCCTGGCCATAAACCGAGTCAGGATCACAAACCCAAGGTTAAAAATTGCATCTTTACTTGGACAAAGTCTCGATCGTTTCTTTGAGTGTGGAGCGTTACGTAGGCCGCTTGCTGCACGCAGCTCTCCAGGAAAACATATGGGCGATAACGGCGCGAGGAGAAGCATGGCTACAGAGGTAGCTACGACGGCTTTATCGAGCGAGAGAGAACAATGGCTGAGAGAACCTGCGAGTGTATCTGCATGCGCATTGCTGGTTCTAAGGCAGGCATTTAAGACTTCAGGGAACAAGATATCATGAAATAATAGTTAATCTTAAATACTGCGTTTAAAACGATCAATGTTGGTCAGGTTTCGCTACTATCACTTTATTAATGCGTGATATTTATGCTAGTATACCTAGCATATCTGCAAGCGTTCTGCTGGTTCTAAGGTGAGATTTAGTAGTTCAGGGAACGAGGCATCTACACCTAATATTAAATACAGTGTATTTATACGGTAATAATTCAGA